AGAGATTAACCATACCTACTAGCGGCAGGCTACTTACTCCATACCCCATTAGGGTTGTCGAAACTGTGGCGGCGGAGGCCAGCCTGGCATTATTGCGAGCTGTGTTAGGGAGGCCAGGCTCCTGTTATTGTGATGTGTTAGAGGAGGCCGGGCTCCCGTTATTGTGCTATGTGCTGGCGGAGGCCGGTCTGCTGTTATTGTGATGTGTGCTGGCGAAGGCCGGGCTCCTGTTATTGTGATGTGTGTTAGAGGAGGTCGGTCTCCCGTTATTGTGATGTGTGCTGGCGGAGGTCGGGCTCCCGTTATTGTGATGTGTGCTGGCGGAGGCCGGGCTCTCGTTGTTGTGATGTGTGCTGGCGGAGGCCGGGCTCCCGTTATTGTGATGTGTGCTGGCGGAGGCCGGGCTCCCGTTATTGTGATGTGTGCTGGCGGAGGCCGGTCTCCCGTTATTGTGATGTGTGCTGGCGGAGGCCGGGCTCCCGTTATTGTGATGTGTGTTAGAGGAGGCCGGTCTCCCGTTATTGTGAACTCTGTTAGAGGAGGCCGGGCTCCCTTTATTGTGATGTGTGCTGGCGGAGGCCGGGCTCTCGTTATTGTGATGTGTGCTGGCGGAGGCCGGGCTCCCGTTATTGTGATGTGTGCTGGCGGAGGCCGGGCTCCCGTTATTGTGATGTGTGCTGGCGGAGGCCGGTCTCCCGTTATTGTGATGTGTGCTGGCGGAGGCCGGGCTCCCGTTATTGTGATGTGTGTTAGAGGAGGCCGGTCTCCCGTTATTGTGATGTGTGTTAGAGGAGGCCGGTCTCCCGTTATTGTGATGTGTGCTGGCGGAGGCCGGGCTCCCTTTATTGTGATGTGTGTTAGAGGAGGCCGGGCTCCCATTATTGTGATGTGTGCTGGTGGAGGCCGGTCTGCTGTTATTGTGATGTGTGCTGGCGGAGGCCGGTCTGCTGTGATGCGCCATCTCCGCCGTCCGGGCGGCGCGGCACGCCGCGAGGGCAGACCGGCCGACCTCGGCAGACCGGAGCCGAGAGAGAGGCGCTCAGGGACGACCGGTCCCGAGTCAGGCGGACGGATGATCCGCCGACCGGCCAGCCTCTCCGTGCCCGGAGCTCGGCTCTCGGCGGCCAGCGCAGCGCACCTGTCCGACATCCTCAGCGGCGCAATTCAGCCACGGGAGATAATAGAAAATTCAGCCGTATCCAGTTGTGAAAACCAGACTAGATCACCAATTATCAGCCATCCAACGAACTTGCCATTCATCTATTCCTTGGCAAGGTAGATTCTGAACTGGCAACGTAAGGCACCGAAGCTGGAATATTGCACTTATCAGTAACTATAAAGTGTCCTATCATGAAGAATCAGGGTGGCTGATCGGAGACACGGAAACTTCCACGAACGATTCAGCCGTTCAAGCGGCATTGTCATTGAGAGAGATGGGATGTGGCCTGTGGCTCCGTCAGCTGACCGCCGTCCTCGGTGACCCTGCCCAACGAGGTCAGGACGCTCGATGAGAACCAGCGGGCCACTCAGCGAGCACAGAGGAGGGACATTTTACTCGCGGTGGGAGCTTGGGCTGCTTAGCGATTACAGCGGGATGCTGACAAACTGCAGAGAGTACTCATCGGGTGTAGCCGCTATTCAGACATTTTTAGCCGGCAAAGTGGACTGCACACTGCATACAATGCTTCGTTTAGCAGGGACAGCAGCCCGTCCAGTCCAGTAAGCGCAGAGGCCGCTCTGCGAAGGCAGCTAGCTCCCTTACGCACGACTTCTCCCACAGTCCCTGACGGTCACGCTCGTGCCCGCTGTGTCCCGCCACCCTGTGAAAAACCCGTATGGCCTTCAGCACCACTGGAAGGCGTGCAGCAAGGAGCGGGAGAAACTGGGAGCCCATGTGCGCATGTATGGTCTGCCTGGGTGTGGCAACAAGCGCGGTAGCATCCCACAGGCAGGGTGCATCGGGGCCGGTAACAGATGAGAGTCCTTGTCAGCTTTGAAACGGACAGCGCCTCTGCTGCCTCCTCCCACAAACGCCACCTGGCTGGTCCCGGAAACGACAGGAGGAGCCGTGACGTGGACATGCCAACTGAGCCGTGAACCTGTGACGTTCGTGTGGGAAGGGAGAGACGCCGGTGGGAGATACCTAACGAGCGTTACTGGGAGTAGCGCGGTGCGTTATGACTGCCTGTCAACCGGCTGTGCGAAGAACATTCACTTTCTATCGATCTCGGAGATCGTCAGAGTGCGGCGGTGGATGATATGACACAGGTAGGATGATGTTAGGATAGGAGATACCGCAGTGATGAGAGCGGAGTCAGAGTTAGCGCTGACCGGCGCGCCCTGTGGTCAGCTCCCGGGGATCAGGCAGCTCGGTGACGGAGTCCGAGTCGCCCCGACGGCGCAGACTGGTACAGAGGGACGCCCACTCCGACTCCGCCCCGGGCCGGCGGCCAGTTCACCTTGAAGCGGCTCTTCCGGCAGGTCGGAGACGGCGTCGGTAGCCAGAGCAAGGAGTCTTCAAAGGCAGAGACGGGAGACGGCGGCTCACGGGACCGATGTAAACATCGTCAGCACCGCTTACTGATGATGACAAGCCTTGGATAGGCGGCTCTGAGCAAAACAAAACATATTATTGCACATAGCGGAGCTGCTAAGCGGCGCTGCAAAGTGCCTAAGATGTGTTTTGCATACGCCCGAGGGCCGTAATGTCCGCACAAATTGAACCATTTTGTGAGCAAACAGACCAGAGAGCCGAGCCAGCGAGTCAGGGGAGTACCCCATATGCCCGCCGCATTGGCAGTCGCACCTGCTCCGAGGCTAGGACGAGGCAGTGCGCCGCTCATCCACGGCTGTTCTGGCGGCCGAAACGTTACGCTCTGTGCGTCCGTTTGCAGAGAACGTCCTGAACAATTGAGACGTCTACTGTGCCTCGTGGGGCCGGCGGCTTCTTTGCCGGTAGCGTGTTTTCTTTGCCGTCCGAGGCATTGTTATATCGGGCGCTATGCTAGGCTCTGGCATGGTGAGTGTGACACGGAAGTAGGTGATTGTACGAAGACGGTGCTGTTGAATTGTTTGCTACTGGCAGTAGCCCCACGACATTTTGTCCAAAACACGCATAAATTATTTTTCAGCCCCCTTCTCTGTCTCTGTCTCTGTCTGTCTGTCTGTCTGTCTGTCTGTCTGTCTGTCTGTCTCTCTCTCTCTCTCTCTCTCTCTCTCTCTCTCTCTCTCTCTCTCTCTCTCTCTCTCTCTCTCTCTCTCTCTCTCTCTCTCTCCCTCTCTCTCTCTCAAACACGCATGGCATGGCGACTGCAACGCACCAACTTCAATACCACCAGCCGCCGTGGTTTGAGACTGTACCGCACGGCATGAAGACTGCAACGCATCGACTACAATACCACCAGCCGCCATGGTTTGAGACTGTACCGCACGGCATGAAGACTGCAACGCACCGACTACAATACCACCAGAGCGCCGTGATTAGAGACTGTACCGCACGGCGCGGAGACTGCGAGCCTGCACACAAAGACAGCCGGAGGGCTTATCGCGGCCTTGGACGAGGCTCTCCGGTCCAGTAAAAGGCGGTCGGCGGCGCGGCGCGGCAGCGGCTGCACTGAACCCTGCCGACTCCACCGGCCTCAGTAAGCCTTCACAACCGCTCACAGGTCTCTCTAGTTGTTCATGGGTCTCTACAGTCCATCTTCCTGCATATCCTCGGCCTCAGGGTGCCCCTCATTCATGTCCCAACCCGGCTCCGCAAGAACACACTAGCCTTACCGGGACCAATTGCCGACCTCTTTACAGACAGACCTTCACCAGAAAACCTCAACAGGTCTCATCGGTAGACATTCCTACTAGTCTACATGGACATTCACCGACCGGGCTATACTCTACCGCAGCTAACGGCCTTATCGTGCTCTACCGCAGCTGATGCCTTATCGCCAGTCGAACCCTATTCATGGCCTCAGCTGAAAGGCGGCGGTGATAGCGAGTGTCTTGTGATGCAAAACCCGTAAAAGGGAGCGGATAGCTGGGACAAGTCTGTTTTCCAAACAGCTTGTCGGGTTCATATAGAGGTAATGGTGTGGCGGGTGCTTAGCCGTGCTCACTGAGGCATTTACTGACATGTTGAGGAAGAGATATACTGGGGCACGACCGACAAGATGAGTCGTTTTAAGGGACAACGCGCCGAGCGGAGAAGCATACCTTCTGACCCCCGTGACAATTGCGATTGCATGACGTGGGACGGACTGGCAGCGCGCAGAGCCGACTCACGACTGCACTGAAAACAATTTAACCCAAGGCCCGCGAGTAAACCGGCGTTTTGCAGGTACCCCCATCCGCAACCATTTTTAACCACCCTTCCAGGAGTACAGTAAGGTCCCATTGCAGTGTAGTCGTCCCTGCTCTCAGCGGACTTGTTCGCTGACAGCGGTTATATCCGCTCAGAGCAAGTACGACTACACCGCAATGGGACCTAGCACTACTCCTGGGAGGGTGGTTAAAAATGGTTGCGGATAGGGGTACCCGTAAAACACCGGTTTACTCGCCAGCCTTGGGTTAAATTGTTTTCAGTGTGGGGACTGAGCATGTCGCAAGCCGCCCTCCCCCAGGTCGTGCGGCCTCCCACGGCGGCCTGTGCCGTGGCGCCCATGGTCTGACCCTCAGCTCAGCCTCCACTGCACACCTCTTTCTTGGAGGTCACTTTGGCAGCCATTCATCCCTCTAAAGTCACTAGGAATGCTAGCATAAAAAGTTTGGAAAAGCGTAATGAGTCGGGTAGCATAAATCACAGCAGTCGAGTGAACCAAAATATGTTGCCTTTTACAATATTGTTTTTATGATACTCTTGTTTGGAGCGTCTACCAGCAAAATTGCAAAAAAGGGAATATACGTTTCTGTCAACTGCTTATAAGTGACACTGCCTGGCGCCTGCCATCCGTCTATGAAAAAAGGGTACCTATCCGCTGAAAATTCACACAAATCGTCATTCCACTCACCTTGCTGGGGTGATCCAAACGAGCAGACGGCCAGCAGGGCCAGCGAGAGGCTGATCCAACGCACCATCGGGGACATTCTAAAACGACCAGTGACGATACCGGTGGGACACACACAAACACTACGGACACTGGTGACTGTGCGCGCGCTGGCTCGCTCACATGTTCCGTGCGGAGCTCGGTCGCGGTGGGCACACTCTCGCTCTCGGTCCGCACGGGCTCCCCGCTCGCCGGACACTGCTGCCGCCCCTGACCGCCAAACGCCGCCGGAGCCTTTTACTTGGCCGTCGGCGGCGGCGGCCGTCGGCACGCCCGCTCGTCCTGCGGTGCGGCTGCGCGCCGGCGTGCCGGCGCCGGCCATCAGAGAAACCGTGAATCACCCGCTCAGGGAGCGCCGGGGGCTGGGCGCGCCGGCACCGGTGTCGAAACGGACGGCGGTCGTCGAGTGAGTGGAGATGTGTGCGGGTGCTCGCCGACGCGCAAAGGATGGAATCCTGCGGCGGAGGGAAATGACGTGTGGAGCTGCCGGCAGGACCCGAGGCTAGGCCGGCGGGGCTCGAGGGCTGAGGCTGGGCCGGCGGCCGCCGGGAGCCCCACCGTGTGACGCGTGGCGGCGTCCAATGTTTTATGTGAGCATGATCGGATATTAACTGACATGTTCATTGGGTGAGATAAGACCAATCACTGCGCTGAGCGTTCTTCTGGCTTCGGCTGGAATATTACCTAGTTACTTACAGAAATTGCGCTGGATGGTCAACGTTCAAAATCAATCTTCATTCTTCAAAATTGATGTGATAAGTGGGTTCTCATAATAAGAAAACCCTAATAATCCTAACAAAATCTTTACTCATGTATCTAACGCGAAATGAATCTCAAGCCGTTTTGTAAAGCGATCATTCTCCATTCACGTCATGTGACGATGCATTTGTGGTATAAAAACGCAGTTGTTCCTTCGCTTCCCAGTCATACCTACTAAGGAATAAAATGACCGACTGGGGATATCTGAAAAGTATGAACCTAAAATATGGTCGAAGAAGACACTTTATATAATTATGATAGCTTGCATGCAACAGTAACGGAGCGTTTCATGCAATTGACATTCCATTTCAATGGTCGGTTATCGCATACAGATACCTATCTCATATTTTCCTCTCATCAAGGTTGGAAACAATATTTAACTGGAGCCTGGAAACAATATTTATTTTCATATTTCAATAGCAATAACAAGATAAACTACTAAATTGATCAGGTAATTCCTTACGTCTAACGTCAGGGTAGCACGCTGCGGCGCTGAGATTCACGGTAGAGGCACTGAAACTGCGTGCGTTCCAGTTGCCAGTCATGCACCGACTCAACCAACGCGGACAGCTTTTACATCCAAAGTGTCCCATCTCTGAATGCGTCATCAGAGGCGAACATGATGGCGCCAATAGGAAGGTATACTCCCTGAAGCACAGCCAGACCACTTTGTGACTGATGTGAGACAGCTGGTTGCGGGCACGTGATATTTCGTGGCGGCCGCGGTGTTTCGAGCTCCGAATCACAGCGTTAGGTAACAGCAAGGCGCCAGCAGTGTGGGAGAGTCGGGCCCGTCACGGCGCTACACAGCGCAGCGAGGTGGCCTCACTCCACACACGCCGCCACTGCGCGGTGCAGTGCTTCTGCCGCTGCTGCTGCTGCGCGTCCTAGAACGGATCGGTGCAGACAAGATGCATATGTTGCGGGCCAAGTGCGAAGGCTAGTCCATTCGCGAATGGCCTAGTCCAAGTGCGATAACGCACTTGGACTAGGCCGTTTGCGAATGGACTAGTCCATGTGCGTTATTGCAGTTGGCCTAGGCCGTTTGCGAATGGACGGGTGTTTATGCTCCCAGTCCAAGTGCGAAGTCAGGCCAAGTGCGAAATATCCAGCAAAGTGACGTCAACTGCATTTTATCGCACTGATCGGATCAGTGAAATAAAGGATTAGTGCGATTACAACCTGCTTTCCGTAATTTCCGATACTTTTTTATTCTCAGCCGATAAAACGGAGGCATTCGAACCCTAATCCACTTAAAAACATGGGTTCCGTGAGTACGGGTCGGAATTACAACCCTAATCCTCCCGTAATCCGCTATGTCTCAAAGTGCCCATGGAAACCGGGTCAGTGTCACCCTTACTACATCCTGAAAGTTTCATATCGATTGCTCAACAGCTGTAGCTTTGGTGTAAGTGCAAACTTTTTCGGAGGTGGCGTCACTTAACCTGGCCTGGTGACCTGACCTTAGGTCATCTGGAGTCAGCATTTTCACACAATGTGCGCAGAATATGGGAGAGAAGGTATACAAAATTTGGCTTTGCTGCGCGCCGCCGTTTTCTCGTGATCTGTGAAAAACCACAGGGGGGTTGAAAGCAACCCCCCTGCAGTGTGCGTATTGTTAACACGCGCAGTGGAAGGGGGGGGGGCGGATTTCGCCCACCCCTCCTGTTTTTCGCCAATAACTCGCGCCGCAAGCATAATATCAATGTGAAATTTTGGCTACCTGTCTAGAATTGAATTGCGGATCTTCTCGTGCAAGAAGTAAGAAAATCGGCTCACAACTTTTCTAGTAATAGCGGTGTAAAGTCAAACATCCTGCCGCCGCGGCGGCGCGGCGCCGCGGCGGCCGGCGCTAGCCGTTACGCGCCGCCTGAATTGTAGACTGTGCCGGGGCGGGACGGTTCCGTCTTTACATCGCTCTCCTTACCGCTGCTTATATTAGATTCGCGTCAAATTCGGTGAGAAGACTGAGAAACGTATACGCAATCATATGGTCAAAGAATTTTGAAAATCGGCCGGTAACAACTTGAGTTATGAGTGTGTAAACACAAAATTGTGATTGCCGCGTTTCCCGCGTCGGCCGATGCCGGTTCAGCCGGCGACATCTTACCCTTAGCAGGCTTCTAACTGCCATATTTATTGTTGGATTATCTAGAAATTCACCATACATACTCACAAATGTTTGCTCTTTCGTATAGTGAAAGATTTTAAAAAATCGGCCGGTAACTTTTTGAGTTATCGGCGTGTAAACGCAAAAAAGTTGCTAATATGGCCGATTTGACCACATTTGACCTCATTTGACCTTGAAGATATTGACCTAGGGTCATGAAATTCACACACAACATAGTTCCCCATGGCCCCCACCTACCCTCCAAATTTCGTCTTTCTAGCTCCAGTGGGAGCTGAGATCTTAGGGGGGGCGACATCCGCCCCCCCCCCCCCTTCCACTGGGCGTAGTACTCGCAACCCTTCCACTGCGCGTGTTAAATGCAATGCAACACAACAGTTTTTCGAACACTCACCGCACCGCACTCACCACACACAAGCCGCACCGTCCCGGTACATCACACCAGAGCAGAATGAATCGAGCGCCACAAACTCGACCAAGGTCAGGTCGGGTCATCAGCGGGGAGCCCGGAGCACGGTAGGGGAGATTGGGAAAGATGCCCATGGTTTTACTATGTCATATATTATTCGAAAATGACGATCGGAAAGCAAAAACTTGTAGTTTCAACGGAAGCCGACATCATTTTTCTCCAAAAATATCACACTTTCGTGCTTGAAATATGATAACTTGTTTTGCTATTAAGCATTTTCCTGAAGAAGTGAAAGGGGGCATCTTACCCCACAGGGTGGGAAAGACGCCCCCTGGCGTTGGGTAAGATGCCCCCTGCACTATAAGTGACATAAATGGGCACGTGAATCGCCTTAACGAATCAGTAGTCCCTTCGGGCCTGCAGTAGACACCAAACGTCATCGTAAGGGCCCTTAAAAGTAGTCGTAAGGGGCTTCAGAGGTCATCGTTAGGGCCATCACGGTCCAGCGCCGCCAAACAAGCCTCCGTGGTGGCGTTCGGAGACCACTGTGGGGCCCTTATAGATCTTCATGATGCTTGAGGGCCCTCGAGCCCATCGTGGGGACCTCAGATGCCAGCGCGGCCCGTGGAGCCAACGTGGGAGCCCTCAAAGGATGTCGTGAGGGGCCCTGGAGCCAATAATGTGGCCCACAGAGGCCGTCGTAAGGGCTCTCAGAGTCAGATGCCGCCCAAAAAGTCGCTGTGTGGGCCGAGAGACCGGCATGGGGAGCACCCGACCGTACTGGACTCTCAATAGTCCCAGATCGGCTTTTGTCTCTCAGCACAGGTATGTAATAAATGATTTGACGGGCTGCTTGAAGGACAGCCTACGGATTTAGGGGGGCGTCTTTCCCCATCAGGACAGGGGGCATCTTACCCCAAGGTACCGAGGTAACATTAAATCAGTACAATTCGTTAGCCATAAAACTACACCCTGAAACAAACTGTTTGGGACACAGTACACGCATGTTAATTTATCACGACTATAGCAAGGGACGCAAAAATTATCTACTTTCTTTGATATTTACAATGTTTTGACACCAAAATATTTTTTGAAAGCAGCAAATAAAAAACATGCAATCACCAGCCAGCCGTTGCCCAACTGAGCCTCGCAAATTTTTGTGCAGTTAACCCGCGCCCCACTGGGGGGGGGGCTATTTATAGCCCCCCCCCTCCCGTTTTTCTGCAATAACTTCCAAACCGCTTGACGGATCGACGCCAAACTTTCAGTACCTTCGGCTGCATCAATTTGACACCTTGTGTCAAAATTTGAACTTCGTACCTACCATAGGTCGGCCGGAAATGACGTCAGAGTGACGTCATGTTCGTCCGATTTCGACGCAAAACATTGAACCACGGCAATCGCTCCCAAGAGCTCAGTTTTTAAGCTAGATCCAATTTCTTTGCATGAAAGAACTCAGAATTGACCGCGCTATCAAACTGCTATCTCGGATTTTCAACATTTTGAAAATTTCGAAAATTTTATATAATAATATTCAAAATTTATATTTTTATATTTTTTTCAAAAAGTTTTTGACTTTTCGAAAAAACCGGAATATATGTGACAGAACGCATGATTATGACTAACTCTAGCAAGTTTTAGCTAAATATCTTCAAAAATGGCGAAGTTATACGCATTATTGCAAAAAATTCACAATTATTAATTTTTCAAATCAATTTTTCAGTACGTATTTGGCATCGTACACCAATATAAAATGCACCATCGTGTTCCTGAGCTCAAACTGCATCCAATAGACACCTTTTTTGTTGAAAAATTTCAACTTCAAAATTTGACCTTTTTTGACCTGAAAGTGACCTGACCTAGGCTAAATTCGACTCAAAATGACCTCGAATGACATAGACGACATCAAATTCGAAATCGATGGCCTAAATGGACCATAAAACATGTGTCACGTGACCGACGCATGATATAATATTTTCGTGACCTGTGATGACCTG